ATCCCCCCTCTACCCTTCTCCAATCTCCCCCGTTCCGCCATCGCCCTCAAGCCTCTGCCGCACGACAGCTGGGCGCGCTCCGTCGGGCAGGAAGCGCACGGGCCACCGACGAGAAGACAGGGGTGACAGTGCTTCAGCGCGGGGAGAGGGAGCAGGATGGGGCACTATGCTCTTCGCTCAACGTTCTCATGTCCTCGTTTGCTTGAGCTCGGCCGTGCTGATTCGTGAGATGCACGCACTAACAAACACTACATGTAGCAACCACCCGCTATGCCACAAGAGAAACAGTGAGACGTGCTGTGGCGGCTAGAAAAACACCGCACCGAGACGCTGCGACTTTCAACTTGAACGACCTCGCCCGTCGAATCCATCCCCAGAGTCCTGGCCCCCCCCCTGGTGTGTTCTAGTTCCCGAACATCAGCCTCGATAGCGGCAACTTCGCCTCATCTCAGGCAGCCGTTTACCGCGCTGCACTGTAATCTGCAGCAAGGCCACGGCGTCGATATGAACAGGGGCACGGCACAAAACAAAAACGCCGCCCTCAATTGGGCGCTCACTTCTGCGATGCGGCAGGCGCCCCCGCAGGGGCCTTCCTCTGGCGCTTGATCTGCTGGGCCAGGGACGCGTCGCACATGACGTCGAGGTTCCTGTCGGCCTGGGCCTTGGCCGAGATGATATCCGCCACTGGCGTCATACGGATCAAGCCCATGCCATCGTTCTTTTTGGCGTACTCCTCGAAGATAGGGTAGATGAAACGCTTGGTCCCCAATTGGCTGTACCGCGCGGTCTTCTCGGAATAATTGTCGATGATCTCATCGCTGCAACGGAAAGTGATCCTGTCCGAGTGCGGCATGGGAACGCACACCTTGGTGATGTTGCACTTGATCTGAACGACGCGATCGTCGTCGGCCGACTGGGGCAGAAATTCGAAGACCCCTGCCTGGCCCTTCAGCTTGGGCATACCCGTGGAGTCAACCTCAACGCCCTCGGAGAAGACGCCGTTGTTCTGCATGTTGTTGCGCTCGCCGATCCTGGTAACGATGACGTACGCGAGGTACTCCTTCTTCAGGAGGTCCCCGACGAGGGCCAGCCTCTCGGGCAAGCCTGAGGGGAGCGCAAAAAGCGAACGACGTAAGATTATGCGACAGGCAACGACTGGGAGGAAACGCGAGGCAGGAGGAGGAGGAGGAGGAGGGGCCCGAACGACTCACACCAGGAGGTGAATCGTTCGGGCCCCTCCTCCACCTCCTCCACCTCATCGTCCTACTCGTCCCCTCCTCCTCCTCCTCCTCCTCCTCCTCCGCCGGTCGCGCCGCCCCATCCACCAGGGAATGGTGGGGGCGGGTGTCGCTGCTTCTACCGTCCAGCCTGCCACGAAAGTGGTGATCTTCCTGAGGGGCTTCCCGCTCTTCTGAGAGATGGCCGCCTTCACCTCGGCCGAGATGCCGCCCTTGGTGCGCTTCTCCAGCACCGCCCAGAGCCACGCGGGAGGCGCGTCGGCCAGCGTCTCCACAGTGTCCGAGTCGAAGGTGCTGGACTCGTTTAGCCTGGCAAGCTCCACGGCCTCAGCCTTTTTGCCGCTCTTCTTACCCTTCAGCAGGGACTTTGAGTTGTCGCCACGCAGGGACACCTCGGCGAACTCGATCTTGTCAGGATGATCCGCGAGCATCTGGGCCACGTTCGCAATCCTCCCCGCCCTGTGGGCCAACACCTTCATGTCCACGGACGCCTGCTTGAACGGCTGCCCCAGCAAGATCTTGCCGACCAGCTTCTGCAGCTGGCCGATCTCCCCGCATGTGGTGGTGCACGTGTCCTCGTCATCACCATAGTCGTCACCAGCAGACGAGGCGGCGAGGGGCGCCTTCTCAGCGACCTTCGGGGGCATGATGCACGCATGAACGTAACTGGAATCGCAAAACTGCTCGAACGCAAGGAGAGCGACGCAACCTGAACAGAGCTTGATCCAAAACGGCAACATAATCGAGACAGGCGAGGAGGATGATGACGATTTGGAAGAGGGGCTGGGACGAGACGGGGCCAGGGAGAAACGTGACCAGGAAGCTGCCCCAGGAATGACGATGAGGAGGAGTAGGAGAGATGCGGACGTGGAGCGAGAGGAAAAGGAACAGGAGGGCGGGATGGTCCGAAATTGATATGTTCGCCTTATGGTGGGGATGAGTCTCTAAATCTAACAACCCCTCGCAACCCTGCCTTTCTTGAAGCCCTTATCCTCATCCTCCCGTGCCCGCCCCTCTCCTCTTTGTTCCTCCGCCTTTTCAATCATTCATCTCCTTCCCCCCTGCCCCTTTCGCCTTTGGGAACCACGACCCCTCTTTAGGGTTGGGGTCGTGTTGAAGCCTAGTGAGACCTTGCCAGCTGCTGCCCTCGGCGCCGCGCCGCTTCGCAGCAGCTCGGGGCGCAGCTGTGCAAACAGTGCGTGGCTCTTCTGCTGGCGCGGTCAATCCGCGCCATGCACGTCCAGCACCAATGCGGGCCTTCTCGACCCAGCATCGCGCCATTCAGCGCCTGCATTCACATCGGTGCATCCCCGCCCCCCGGCAGCCTGCAGGCCCCCCACCCTTTGAGCGCCGCGCGTGCCGAGCGCCTGGCCGGTCGCCGCGTGCGCAACTTCAACTATCTTAACGCGTCACGCTTCGCGCTTCTTTTTTCTTGGTCCGCAGGCTCGCGAAGCAGGTCGAAAGCCGCCCGAAAACTAGCCGGGCCGCGACTAGGCAGCAAGAAAAGAGAGGCAAGCGAAGCGAGCGCGCAGGCAGCCACTCAAAAGAAGAGCCAGAAACGAAACTCCCAACCCGGTGGCGCGGAGATCCCGGTGGCGACCATCAAGTGAGCACAGCCAAAATGGCGCAGCGGCGCGACCATAAACACGCAGAGGTCAATCACTCGGTGTGAGTCGGCACAAGGCACCATCAGAGACGAGCAGGACAGACAGGCGCGCCCAGACGACGCCCGTGCCGTAGGCGACACAACAGCATCGCGTCAGCGCAAGAGTGAAGAGGGGCAACATCGTCACATATAGGATTGCAAGCGGCAGTACCTCGTGTTTGTACAGCGATGGCACACGTCGACAGCAAAGTCCCTGCAAGAGAGAGCAGCCGACGGGCGCGCAGAGCCACGCATGCCGAAGTCCTCACACCGTAGAGGTCGGCAGCGCAGCGAGACCCCGCTGAACCCTTGGGGGCGCCAGTGGAAGCCGACGCCTGACAGGAGCAGGCCAGGGGCCACCTGACCGCCCATCCCCAGTGTGATCCTTGCGTGGAATTCGTAGCGAGACCTCGCGGAACCCTTCCGGTCACCAGCGGAGGCCGACGCCGGCCAGGGGTAGGCCGGGGGCCACCTGACCGCCCGCTGTCAGAGCACCATCAGACAGCGGCATTGGCTGCAACCCCAGCCGCGCGGGATAAACCCGGCGAAACAAAGGAGAGGAAGGGAAGTGCACGCCGGGCACGGTAGGCGCCCCGGCGTGGCAGCGAACCGCCGCGGCATAAGGGCGCAGGAAGGGAGGAAAGGAAGTGCGCGCCAGGCACACAAGGGACAGGCACAAGAAGGAAGCAGGAGGAGAGGAAGGGAAATGCACGCCAGGCACGGCAGGCACCCCGGCGCGGCAGCTAACCGCTGCAGCATAGGGATGCAGGAGGGGAGGAAGGAAGTGCACGCCAGGCACAGGCGGGAGGAGAGGAGGGAAAAAGCACGCCAGGCACGGCAGGCACCCCGGCGTTGCAGCTAACCGCTGCAGCATCAGGATGCAGGAGGGGAGGGCGGAGGGAAGTGCGCACCAGGCACACGGCGCGCGTGCGCGCAAGGCACGCGGCGGGAGAGGAGAGGAGGATAATGGCGGAACATTTCCTCGAGCAGTTGTTGCTGACTATGCCAGCCGTGGCTGTGCCGTCTCCGACCGCGCTGACTGTGCCAATCATGACTGCGCCAACCCTGGCTACGCAAACCTTGACTGCGCCAACGAAGCCCCCGTGGAAAGCGACGCGCTCTTATCGACTATGCATCGTGTGCGCCGGAGCGCCCCAGGTAGCTGAGGTGAGAGCACCAGGCCGCGCTGCTGCGTTTCTTGCCCCAGTGGTGCTGGTTAGCGACGTGCCGCTCGATCCCGTTGAGCCGGGGCCCGCGCTACTGGACCCTGACGTGCTCAGCAACGTCGCGCTGCGCGACTCTCCGGTGATCGTTGACGCGCTGCTTGTCGCGGCGGTGCTGGTCAGCGACGCGCCCCCCGACTCCGTTGTGCTGGAGCCCGTGGAGCTCATCAACATCGCGCTACTAGTCTCATTGTTGCTCGTTGCCGCGCCGTTTGTCTTGGCGGTGATGGTCGGCGACGCGCAGCTCAGCCCCGTAGAGCTTGGGCAAATGGTGCTGGGCCTGATTGTGCCCGTCAGCGTAGCGCTGCTCGCCCCGCTTGTAGTCGTCGCCGAGCTGCTCGTCTCCGCGGCGCCGGCAAGCGGGCGCAGGGGCCGCAGGAGGAGAAGAGCCACTAACCGCCGCAGCCTTGGGAGAAAAACAGGAAGGGGAGATGGAAGCAGCCTGCCACGGCGGGCCGCTGACTCCATGGTACGCGCCACTTCCCATTACAAGTTGTACGTGCCACCCGCGCTACCAAGGCCCGGTGAAAGAGGGCGCGGCCGCAAGGCGGCGCGGACTTCCCGGCGCGGGGGGGGCGGCGCGCCAGGCTGGCCCCCAGGGCTGCGGTTGGCGCGCCAGCCCCAGAGTGGAAATAATAAAGCCACCTTTCCCGGGTGACAGCGAGGAGACGGTCGCGCGCCGGGCGCCGAGGGGAGGAGGAGATAGGGAGATAGCAAGTGATCGCTGAACCCTTGAGGACATCCAGGCGCACATAGCCCATGCCCAGTCGCGCGCGCCACCCGCGCTCGAAAGCCCGGCGCTAGAAGGCACGGCCACGAAGCAGCGAAGGACTTCCCGACGCGGGGGGGCAGCGCGCCAGGCTGGCCCCCAGGGCCGCGGTGGGCGCCCCAGGCCTAAAATGGAGCGGGCCAGCGCGGGCGGGGGCCCCAGGGCGCTGCCGCGCCCGCGGGAACGTAGACCGACGTCCTCTCGTGCCCGGCGCGAGCACGCATGAAAGCGACGATGATGTGCGCGGGCGCAATGCAGGGCTGGGCTCTGCCTTCGCCAGGCATCTTGTAATCGATGGTTCGCCGCTCCCGCTGTGCGAGGCTATCCGGGGGCGAGCGCATGACGCCCCGAACGCGCTCGATGAGAGAACGGCGGCTCAGCGCGGTGAGGGCCAGTTCGAGAGAATCGCGGCAGTCTGGGCGTTTCCCCGTGAGCGCCAGGAACTGGCGGAGGACGTCGGGCTCGTGGCGCGCGGAGCTCAAGGTGCCAGGGCCCCCCATCGCCTCGTTGGCGCGACAGGAGTCATGCCACTGGCGCGCCCCCCCGTCCACTGCCACGCCCTGGCCCGCTCCGCGAGGGCCCGCGGGTCGTCCGCGGGTGCCCCGGCCCCCGAGGCAGACTCGTCAGGCGACTGCTCCGCTGCTTGGCCCGCGCCCAGCTCTGCGCTCGCACGAGACCCGTTCGCGTCGGGGGGCGAGGGCATACATAGTAATCGACGCGTCCAAGCCCGCCCCGTCTCCACGGGCAGGCGGCGCGCGCGGGGACGGCTGGGCCAGCGCAGTTCGGACGCTGGGTCGCCATCGGCTGGGGGGGTCAGCGGCGGGCGACGGCCGGGGGCCCCCGTCGCCCTGCGGCCCCGCGCGGCCCGTCGAAGGCGACGCCGGCGCAGGGGTGATCTCGCGGGCAAAGCCCGCCCGCCTAGGCGGCGCGTCCGCGCGTGGAGCGGGCGGGGCCTGCAGCGGGCTGGTCGCGCGCTCGGGCGCGGGGGCCCCTGGTGGGCGTGGGGGGGGGGGACTGGCAGCAGCGAATCGCCCTCTGCCCACCATTCACCGGGCTGCGGCCTCGTCTTCCAAGGTCCCGCTGTCTCTTTCCACCGCAATGCCCAGGTCGCCCTCGGGGATGCCCTCGCTCGCCTCGTCCCCGCGCTTCTCCTCCAGGGGCTCCTCCGCCGCTCCCTCGACGGTCTCCTCGATGGTCTCCTCCCCAGCGGTGGGCCCCCCTTCCCCGCGCGACTCGCGACCATCTTCGCACTCTTCCCGGTGGAGGCGACTGGCCGTCGCAGAGTCTGTTGGGATTCGAAGCGGCTGGGTGTTCCCAGGGGTCGTGCCGCCAGTGGGTTGCGTTGGGCGGTCGGCAAGGCCCCTCTGTCTTCTTCCTGCCCCTTCTCCTGCGGCTCGCGAATCATTTCGCACTCTTCCCGGCGTAGGTGGCCAACCATCGCAGAATCCATTGGAATCCGAAGCGGCTGGGTGTTCCCAGGGGTCATGTTGCCAGTGGGTTGTGTTGGACGGTCAGCAAGGTTCTTTCTGTCTCCCCCCTGCCCCTCACCCTGCGACTCGCGGCTATCTTCGCACTCTTCCCGGTGGAAGCGACTGGCCGTCGCAGAGCCCGTTGGAATCCGAGGCGGCTGGGCGTTCCCAGAGGTCGCGTTGCCAATGGGTTGTGTTGGGCGGTCGGCAAGGTCCTCTCTGTCTTCCCCCTGCCCCTTCTCCTGTGGCTCGCGACCCATTTCGCGCATTTCCCGGTGTGCGTGAACGACCGTCGCAGAGTCTGTTGGAATCCGAGGCGGCTGGGTGTTCCCAGGGGTCGCGTTGCCAGCGCGTTGAGTGGGGCCGTCGGCAAAGTCCTCTCTGTCTTCTCCCTGCCCCTCACCCTGCGACTCGCGACTATCTTCGCGCTCTTTCCGGTGGCGGCGACTCACCGTCGCAGAGTCCGTTGGAATTCGGAGCGGTTGCGTGTGCCAAGAGGTCGCGTTGCCAGTGGGTTGTGTTGGACGGTCGGCAAGGTCCTCCCTGACTTTTCCCTGCTCCTCCTCCTGCGATTCGCGACTATATTCGCGCTCTTCCCGGTGGAAGCGCCCCATTTCGCAATTTTCCCGGCGAAGGCGACTAACCGTCGCATCTGGCGGGGAGGGAGGAGAAAAGTCTGTCTCAGGGGAAACGCCCTGCGTAGGCGGGGCGCCAGCCCACCCGTCGGCGAGCAGGGTCTGCGTCGTTGTCATGCCGCCGGGCAGCTTCGTTGGACAGCCGCGCAAGCCAGGCGGTTCCAGGAGAGTGTCGACACAGGTTCCCTGTTCAGTTGCAGCCTGGTGGCCCAGTGCTGTAGCTTGACGTACGCAATGACCAGGTCGTAAGCCGATGTCGCGCATGTGTCGATCACTCATAAGCCGTGCCTCAGCCACGCGCTCAAAGCCATGCTCAACGAAGCTCGACGCATACATCCCAAGACCATGCTGGCACATAAAAGCGACGACCTCGGGCTCGCAGTCCGTGCTAGGGTCGTTTGCGGGCGGGTCCGCCGAAGCGTCACATCTTGGTCCAGACGGAAAAATATATGGTTCTGCTCGCTGACGAGCCGCGCGTTGTCTCGCGCGGCGGTCTGCCCAGACTATGATGGCGTAGTCAAGTTCGCGGCCCTGCTGACTATGCCAATCCTGGCTGTGCCAACTTCGCTGAGTATCACGTGGGGGACCACGCTGACTGTGCCAAGCTTGACTGTGCCAACCTCGCGGGCCCTGCCGCTCTGACCCGGCCCCGCCAGAAAGCCACGCGCTCATCACGGAAGTGTGGACAACGAAACAAATGAAGGGAAGGGAACGGGCAGAGGGCTCCGGACGGCTCACAGCTTGGGCCAGAGCGGCTTGAGCCAGAGGGGCTTGAGCCAGAGGGCTTGAGCCAGAAGGGGAACGGACGCTTCGCGCTTCGCGAAGAACAAAAAACGTCGCGTTCTCGTGAGTCCGCCCTGGGGGAGAAGAGGAGGACGAGGATGACGATGCGGAATCGCAAATCGCGGGCCGCGAATCACGAATAAGTTGGCGCCCTCAAGGCGGCCATTGGTGCACGCCACGGCACCGGGGAGCGCCGTGGGCATCCAACTGGCCACGCCGCAGAGCTCGAGGTGAATGAGCTCGTGCAGCGGCAGCGCCTCCCACTCCTCGGCCACGATCGCCGTGCCCACCTCGAAGAATTGCCCGCAGTGGCCCAAGACAGTCAAGATCGAGCGTCCGAGGATCCGCACGGGCACATCGGGCGCCGCATGAGAGCTGCCAATGGCCTTCGAGGGCAGCCACATTCGCTGGCCAGGGCCACGCGACTGCACGGCTGAGTCCACCAAGTTTGCTGTTCGAAAGCTTTCCAGCGCACGAGTATCACATCGGCAATTCAACGCGTACCCAAATCCGGCGCAGCCATTCATGCCGCTTGGACACAAAGTCCGCTTCAAAATGGAAAGATCGTACGACCAGGCTACCAGGTGCTTCTCCACCACTCTTGGTTGAAGGTTCGCAAGACGGCGACTGGTGTTCACGATGGCAGCATCATCATCAACAGTCGCGGCCCGCCGCAAACCCACGCTGCCTCGTACGAATCAATGAGCCCACGAAGTCGTGCAGCCTCCAGGTAGCTTTCGATGCCGCCGAACCGAATTTGAATGTCAGAGGTCAGAGCCCTCAACTGCCTGAAAGTTGCTGTGAGCTGGGCGACCACCCTCCAACCGTTGAACATAAGCTGATTGCCCTTGGGCAAGAAGCAGGTGCAGGACACGTCGAGGCGAACGGGAACGGGACGGCCTCCAAACAAGTGCGCCATCAATTCGTTTCCCCCCGTCGCCTCCAACGCCGCGCGGGGCAAGCCATCGGGCCCAGGGGACGCCGCGACGCCTACGCAATGTCCGCCAGGGTCCACACCAGCACGCGCGCGCCAAGGAGCTCTGCAGTGCCCTATTCGCCGGCCTCCTACGCTTGCCAGCAGTCCCGCACCTGCGTGGCCATCGCACAGGTGGCCGCCCTGGTGCTCGGCCGCCCCTTCAGCAGACAGCGCCGCCTCCGCGGGACCCCGAGCCGAGCCCTCCGAGCCGCCTGCTCCAGTCGGCCACTCAAGCGCCGCAGTGGCGCCCGCCTCGTGCGGAGAGCTTGGCGCGCTGGTCAGCCTGCTGCTGCTGCGCACGCACTAGACAGCCGCGCGCCAGCGGCCCGCATCGCGGATGTGTGGAGGAGGCGAGCTTGCACCCATCCACCATCCCCACCTCCCCCCTCCTCCTGTCTACGCAGCGTGCTCAGACGGATTCGCCAGTGGGGGGGCCTGCGCGCTGGTCAGCCTGCCTCTGCTCCTCCTCCCACGACTCCAGCGGGGCACCGCCACGCCACGCCCTGCAGGCAACGGTGCGGGGTTCCCTGTCTGCCCCGTTCTTCTGCCTCTGGCAGCCCCGTCCGGCACTATTCTTCTCTTGGCCATCCGCCGTCCACACGCGCCGCAGGAACGTTTGAAAACGAACTATATCTATCAGCGCGGATACTTCATAATTCAAATGTAGGGGCCCGAAGGTATTCGGAAGCCGGACCATGTGTGAGAGGAGAAGGAGATGGATAAGGAAGAGGAGGAAGAGGAGGAGCGAGATGAGCAAGACGAGTCACGCCTGCCCTTTACTACCCTGCCCTGCCGTGCCCCGCCCTGCTAGTCGGAGCAGGGCGAGTTGAGACAACGGCAGCGCAAAATCGGCCCCCAAACCCCTCCCAGGGTCCAAGCGTACAAATTTTCCGAGCTGCGTCCAGCCGTGGCGACGAGGGGGCCCTTCGAAGTCCCACTACCGTTGACTCAAGAGGCCCTCCTCTGAGTGGCAAGCAAGCAAGCAAGCTTGCCGAGAGGCAAACAGGCGGGTTCGGGCAACAGCATGGCGGTCCACCAGCTTGTAACGGCCCGGCTTTACCGAGCAGTCCTGGCCTGAGTCACACTCCACCAGCCGACTGGGCCACCAAATTGCCCAAGCAGGTCGGACGACTGGCCGCTCCCGCCCCGCATCACAAATCGTCGGAATTGCTGGGCAGAAAACACTGGGGAACCTTCATCTCTTCGATCGGTACGCCCATTTGGAGAGACCCACCAACAACCCCGCTCGGAGACTCTGGATGCCCCGCACCGCTCTCGCAAGATCCACAAGCCCAGGATGCGCCGTGCTCCAATCGAGGAAGACAAAGCGGCACAAACTTGTTCCTCTTTGCCCTCACCCCCGCTGTCCCAACCGTTCCGCATGCTCTACGGCGATGGTGCACATATTTTTCAAGGGGGCCACAGATCTCTATTTTGCCATGCGCTCCTCGGTAGGTGAAAGGAACGAAGGCTGCCTCTCTCGCAGGCGACCCAGCTCAACCCCTGCCCACCACCCACACATGTCTCCCAAGGCTTCGGCCAGGTGGGAGGCCAGGGCCAAAACCAAGGGGGATGGGCGAGGGGAGCGTCTCGACCCATTCACCCACCCTGGGACCCAAGATGGGCACGGAGGGGGGCGTCGTGGTAAGAGCTTGCCGTCCCTTTCCCGACAGGAGGGGACGAGAGACGAAGACGCAGTACTCAATAATACGGTGTGCACAAGAAGTTCGGAAGTCCGCGCGGATTTCTTGGATCTGCGTTCGAACGCCCTCCCTGGCGCGCGGAGCGCGCCAGGGGCTGCGCCGGAGGCGCCGCCAGGCGGGTCCCAGCGCCGATCCAAGAAATCCGCGCGGTCGAAAGTTGATGCCGATGCGGTTTGCATCGTTTCGCTTCCCCTCTGCGGGGGCTCGAGAACGCTACCCGCCTTTTTGGGCCTCTCTGCGCACGGTCCTGCAGGGACACACAGACGCCCGCGTCCTGCCACGCCCCTGCCTTGGTCAGGTGCTGCAGTTTGCTGCCGTTCAGCCGCGACGCGTCGAAGTCTCCGATGGTGAGGTCCACGCCGATGCGCACGCGGCGCACCCGCACCTTTTCTGGAGAGGCCAAGACCAGGACAGGATCGGACCAGGAAAGAAGCGGGACATCTCTGAGATCTGGCGGCTCTGGAGGATACAATCATCGTGAGACCAGAAGAATCACTGAGGAAGGAACCGATGGGCTCTTCTGGCCACGGGGAGCCTCGGCCTGGGACATATTCCCCGACCAAGACGTGGGGCGCAGCCCGAAAATCACGGCCCCTCCTGAACCCAAGGTGGTCCTTGTTTCAATTTGAACGGGGTCGGGAGACCCGACCAGCAGCTTCGCCTTAGGCGACGCCACGCTCCCGCTCTGATGTACCACAGTAGCGATAGTCCCAGTAGTAGGGGGCGAGCCATATCAAGCAGTGTTTAGTACCGATGGCAAATAGTACACCTCGCGCTGAGGTGTAGTCAGATCTGGGCGGCCAGCCGCTTTGAGCCAAGCAGCCGCGGATGCACGCTCGTTCCCACTCACATGCAACGCCCAGTTCTCTTTAGAGTCGGGGGGGAGGGAGACGAGGCGTGAGCTCGCCGCCTCTATACAGCAGATACAGCAACGACTATCTACAAAACGGCAACAAAAGGGCGGAGCCGTAAGGAAGGTGGACCCGCACGCAAGTTGCCTCGCCTGTACTGTGCATACAGATACTCCCCAGGCGGCCTCAGAACGGGACGTCTGGCCAGCCCGATAGGGAGCATGACTCTTGAAGTCATGTTTGAATGATTGTATACCTCCCATGACCTGTAGGAGCATCTCTCTGTCGATGCTCCCCTTGGTGTGACCGTGCGCAGTCATATCGCGGGAGTCGCACCACTGAATACTGTGCACGATTCCTCGCTCCATCATCTGTCGTATCCAGCTGATGTGGCCTAAAAAGGGGACGCGCAATCGGCTTCTTCAAGTCTGTACTTGACCAGGACTTTAACACAGACTCAGCATCTATGGTCAAAGTGACCTTGATGCTCAGGCCACCAAACCCATGTATAGATTTCAACTGAGTGGGAATTAGCGGCCCTGCGTGGAGCTCGCGCAGAGTCACGATCGCGGGATAACAGTCCTCCAAGTTGTGGGCAGCTGCTAGTGTCTCTGTTGAATAGCTCGAGCGGACCTGCAAGCGGCGAGACTTGCAATGCGCATCGATCAAGTGGACGACGGGCTTACCAGATGGCGTGTTTCCACGCCGTAGCATGTTCCCCCCGCGAATACCATAGCCTTTGACATCGTCATCGGCGTCTCCACTAAGGCGTCGGCAACCTGAGTCGCTGGCGATCGCGTTCAGTCGTCGCACATGTATTTTGGTCGGTTCTTGGGCACGCTGTAGAGAAACAACATACACCATCAACCACACCTGGGTGATTAATGCATACGCCAGCGCGCATCTGAGGCTGACGAACAGGTCTGCAACCATCTTGGATGCCTGAGCGTCAGCGTCGGCGCCGGTAAGTTCAGGATGTTGTATAGGACGGAGCTGCTTGATGTATTCGTCTTGGTCCAAAATAGCATCGCCGTCCTCGTCCCTGGTATATATCACAGCACAATTGGTGCATGTGTGCTTGTTGAGTTTACACTTACCACAAGTGTCCTTTACGCACTTGACATACTTGTCAATGGTGTCCCCAGTGCCGGCCATATTGATATCATCAACATGTTCGGCCGTAAGCAGGTTGCTGCTCGTCTCGAACTCCTCGTCGTAGGACGTGGATCAGAGACGAGCGCCTCTTGTGGTCCATCTGAGCTTTAGTGAGAATGCTCGGGGTGCGTCTTTGGTGCCAGTACCTGGTTTAAGGCACTGCAAGCAGTGTTTTGACTTGTCGTAGCGTTCGAATCCTGGGAGAGTTCGAAGCGCCGTGGCCGATCCAGGCGGCAAAGTAAAACGCGCCCCATGTTCCTTTTTTTCACCAGTTGCCTCAGCAAGTTCCTGGTAGGTCAACCCTTTAAGGAAGGCCATGTGATGTCGAGGGAAGCAATGCTTTCACGCTGCCGTGCTCGCGAGTAGTTTCTGGCTTGACCACCGCGCTGCCCCCGACAAGGCTTCCACGCCAAAGGCTTCAAGGCCCATGAATCCTCGGAGCACCAGGCGCAATCTGATGTTACGTTCCATTTCGCCCTCTCGCTGTTCACAAACATCCACTCGTGCACATACCTCGAAGTCATGATGTCTGACGCTTCAGATATGTCTTGCAGCTTGAAACACTTGTTGTCAAACCATGTCTTGCGTTCGGCGTAGAGGGCTGTTGATGCCTTCCCGGGATTGGCCTGGATGTCAGCCTTCGCGGGGAGGTCGTTTTCCTTGACGGCCGCAACTCGCTTTGCAGCGGCGGTAACATATATACTCGCATGGTGGTCACGCGGCAGGCATCGAATATCCTTTGCTGTTGTTCGGACATGACTACGTTTGACAATTCTGCCGTAAAACAGAATTCTACATATTGTCCATTTTCGTCCGAGTCCAGTCCGCAACTGCAATCTTAGACCATGGAACATAGCGGGACACGATGCATCTCCTCGGTGTCGGAGTCGCGTGGGTGTCCCCACTTAGGCAGGTGCCCCCGCTGTTCTCCAGCTACAGTGATCAGCGCACTATTGTCTGGAATCATACGCGTGGGTACTGTGAAAAGATCCTCTAGTGGAGCTGCACCCAGCAGTTCCATTTCATCTTGTAGTTCTACATACCACACTTCCATGACTTGTGCCTCGAGGTCAGCCTCCGATTTCTCATAAATCGTAGGAAGCCGTCCATCCTCCTGTGGTGGTTCGGTTTCTGAAGCTTCTCTTGCAATTCCATTCGGTGTCGGTGCATCCGCCAATTCCTTAAGCTTTCTCACGTCCTGGTCAAAGCCTGTTTGAGGTTTGGTAAACTTCAGGCACTGAGTGGTTCTAGGATGTGCTGATCCAGTTATATCGTAAATGTTAAGAGCGGTGCCTTCTGCTTCATAATAGTGCAATCCTGGATTCACATCCTTGTCATAGTGGACCAATGTGCAACTGTCAGCGTAAGCGACCGGAGGTAGCTTATGGATACTCTCAGCTAATCTGACCGAAACTACGTTCTCAATGCGGGAGATGTTTCTGACAAGGGCCGGCCGAAAATATCGAAAGACCTTCCGTCGTGATTTTTTCTATCGCCCGAGGAGCTCTGGGGACCTGGTCGGGGATGTACTGACCTGGGTCACTCCAAACCCGGGTCAGTCGGGCCTTGCAGGATCCTTCACAAACTTCTGCAGGATCCTGCACGCAAGCCCGGGTCAGCGCAGGATCCTGCAAGGTTCTGTTGAATCCTGCGAGCTCTGCAAGATCCTGCGGGATCCGGAGCCCTTGCTGACCCCGCTTGCATTGACCCCCGTCCCTTGAGCCCCGACCTGGGCCCGCCCGACCTTGGCCGGCGGCGACTCCTGGCGGCGCCGCCGGGCCGAAAGAGAGTCTGGCAGGCCCTCGCGGCCGGAGGGCCGCAGGCCTCCGGCGGGGAGGACCGCCCCCCTCCTACCTTCTTGACGTCGTCGTCGTCCTCGTCGTCGTCGCCGTCGTCGACGGCGTCGGCGTCGTCGGCGTCGGCGTCCGCGTCGTCGTCGTCGTCGTCCCCCATCCCATCTGGTGGGATTGGGTGGAAGGCGGCCCGCCTCCTGATGCTTCCCCCTCGAGAGACTCGGCGGCGAGCCCGGGAGGGGGGGAGAGCGAGGGGAAAGAGGCGCGAGGGAAGGAAGGGCGCGAGAGACGAGGACGGACGAGGGTGAGGTGAGAGGAGAGGGCGGCGCGAGGGAAGGGGAGGGGCGAGGCGGACGAGGAGGAGCGAGGCACGCCCGTGCGGCGAGGCGCGGCGCCGCGGCGCTGCAGACGACGTCAGCAAGGAGGAGGGGGATGGGGGAGGAGAAGGAGGAGGAGAACGAGAAGGAGGAGGAGGTAGAGGAGGAGGGGCGAGGGGCGAGGAAGGAGGGACGAGGAGGGACGAGGGGGGACGAGCGAACATCGGCGGCGCGCCCGAGGGGGGGAAGTGAGAGGGGGCGGGCCTTCTCAGAAGGCTCGGGAGGCCTCGGACGAACTTTCTGAGAAGTTGTCTGAGCCTCCCCCAAAGACGCAGACAACTTCTCTGAAGGTCAGGGGCTCCTGAGAAGCCCCGCCGCCTTCTGAGAACACTTTCTCCTTCTCCCCCCCCCCCCCCGCGCGCCGCCAGTAGACTCCTCCTCGTCGTCCCACCAGCTGGCGCATCGGTAAGAGAGGCCGAGCGCTTCCTTCTCGAGACAGCCTCAGAGATGACGGCTCTGAAGCCCGAAAGGTCCCCCACGGCTGCACGGATAGAGGGTGAATTGTTTCAAAAAGACGGCTTTTGCTCAGCGCCACGCACGTGTGTCTTCAAAGTGGCGAATCGTTTTCAAAATTGCGTTCTCGCTTGAGAGCACGCGCAGTCTTCCTACAAGTTGGAAAGCTGCCACCGGCTACACGGATGGACGGCGAATCATTTCAAACTGTGGCTCTCGCTGTAAAGCCGCGCAAATCCGCCTAATATTACACCTTTGGCAGCAGAAGAACAGAAGCAGCTGGTTAGAGCGATACAGACATCACTGTAACGAGTACTGTAGAACGTGATGAATTGTATAAAGAATGCTCTGGAGAGCACTGGAAGGGAGACCATAATTATTGGATGTAAGGAAGATATCAAAGAGACTGCAAAAGAGATCTTAAAACCAAACACGAAAAAGACAGTACCGGACAACATACGGGAGACCAAACAAAAGACCATAAGAACTGAACGGGAGGATACGGGACACCATATGGGAAAACCTACGGGATGTCATAAGGAAGATCATGCGGGAGATCATACGGGAGAGCATACGTGAACCTATACGGGAGATCACACGGGAGACCAACCGGGAAAACATGCGGGGGACCATACGGAAGAGACCACATGGGGGACAATACAGAAGACCAGACGGGAGACCGCGTGAGAGACTAAACGGGAGACGAGATACCACGGGGGAGACCTTCCGGGAGATCAGAAAGCAGACCGTACAAAACACCTCACTATAGACATTAGAGACTGCACGGAAAATCTGAGGGTAAACCATACGAAAATCACGAAGGATACCACGGGCCACATGCCGCCGACCACCGTTCCCGGAACCCGAGAACCTCACACCGAGCCTCCGAAGAAAACATGGGAGCCGCACAGACACGCTGTTTAGGAGCTTAAGGGGAAAAACCCAATGACACGGATTGCGGGAGGCCGATCTTTCTTCCACAGACAACCGAAAATATGGTGTAGGAAATGTTAGCTTAAAAAAACTTGGGCCAACTGTCCGGAAGCGTCTCAAGACAAGCCTGGACCAAGTGTTCGCGTTAACGCTGGAGGGGCGAACGCACTCAAGAATCGGGTGGTTGAGACACGCAGGCCCAGCCTTTGCGGCGGAGGTTTCTCCATCATATGCTCAACTGCACACGGATTGCGGGAAGCCGGTCTTCTCCCAAATGGGAAAGTCTGTTTCAAATATCATAGACGTGCGACCGGAAGCTCAGAAGGCACAACGGCTGCACAGACGGAGGCCGGCTCCTCTTCCATGTGCGAGGCTCGCTTGGAGAACCGCCTCAAGAAAGATGGCGAAGAGTCTAACTTTGAAACACTTGCACGGGTAAAGGCTGAGCGGGGACCAACAGTCCCAGCATTCCAATCGGCCTACCACGACATGTTCTTAGAGCCAAATAATGTTCTAAGAACAGCACAAGACTCTCTCAACACATAGCCTGTGCATTAAAACAAGACGCTCTCAGCCAAACATGTTCTAAGAACATTTCGCGCAAATCACAAAACGTTACTGGGACGTTCTGTGATGGGCCTATAGGCGAGCCAGGACGCTTCGCCACTGTTCGAGGAGGGCACCTTCGTTTCAGAACGGGGCTCTCGTTGGGCACCTTCTTGAACTTCTGGCTCTGACCTCTCGACTGTCCTTGCAACGGGACTTAGGCTCAATGACAGGCCCGTGGGACGCCCGCCGAAACCCTCGCGTGTGGACGCTCTGGAGCGCTCGCCGCCGCGGAGCGACGCGTGCGCGTACTGAGGCCCTGGTCGATAGCCATCGTTGCTCCAGCGTGCCGAACATCGAGGGCGCGAACAGAGGAGGATCTGTGGCCCAGGAACAAATATAACGAAAGAAAGAGAGAGAGAGAGAGAGAGAGAGAGAGCACAACAGAACGCAACCCTCTTGCGCTGCATGACTCTCCACAGGCTGCCCTTCATCGCAGATCGATCACCGTGCTTGCAGTATCATAGCACCGATCGAGTCGAACAGTCGGACCTCATCTATGACGCAGTACACTCTTCATCGAATTGTCTAGAAACCTCGGACAGCCCTGTGTCTCGTGTCTGATTCAATCCGTCGGCAGGCCAGGCAAGGGGGGGCCGCAACCCGCGGCAAGTCACTTCCGCACCCTCTTCCTCCTTCTCCTCCTCCTCCTCCTCCTCCTCCTCCTCCGCCCCTCAGGGCAAGTTGAGACAACGGCAGCTCAAAATCGGCCACGGGACCCCTCCCGGGGTCCAGACGCAGCAGTTTTCCGAGCTGCGTCCAGCTGCGGCGACGAGGGGGCCCTCCGTTGTCTCAACTCGCCCTCCTCTGAAATTCTCCTTCGCACCCTCTAGAAAAAATAAACAAGTGGCACGCGTGCCCTGGCTCTTGCACAAAGGTATCCGAGGCTCAGGGGGGCTGCCCTGGGGAAGCCTGGGCGGGGGGGGGCAGAGGGGGGGGGGCAGGGGGACGAACGACACGACACGACACGACACGAAAATAAAAGTGGCCCAGGGGGGCTACCCTGGGAAGCGTGGACAGGGGGGGGGGGACGAACGACACGACGAACGACGAAAATAAAGGGTTCCGTGGCCCAGGGGGGCTACCCTGGGAAGCGTGGACAGGGGGGGGCGAGGAGGGACGAACGACACGACGAACGACGAAAATAAAGGGTTCCGTGGCCCAGGGGGGCTACCCTGGGAAGCGTGGACAGGGGGGGGGGCGAGGGGTACCCTGGGAAGCGTGGACAGGGGGGGGGGCGAGGGGGACGGGGGGGGGCGAGGGGGACGAACGACACGACGAACGACGAAAATAAAGGGTTCCGTGGCCCAGGGGGGCTACCCTGGGAAGCGTGGACAGGGGGGGGCGAGGGGTACCCTGGGAAGCGTGGACAGGGGGGGGGGGCGAGGGGGGGGGGGGCGAGGGGGACGAACGACACGACGAACGACGAAAATAAAGGGTTCCGTGGCCCAGGGGGGCTACCCTGGGAAGCGTGGACAGGGGGGGGGGCGAGGGGGACGAACGACACGACGAACGACGAAAATAAAGGGTTTGGCCCAGCGGGCTACCCTGGACAGGGGGGGGGCTCCCGTGGCGAGGGCGGGAGGGGGGCGAGGGGGACGAACGACACGACGAAACGACGAAAATAAAGGGTTCCGTGGCCAGGGGGGTACCGGGGAGGTGGACAGGGGGGGGGGGGGGGGGCGAGGGGTACCCTGGGAAGCGTGGACAGGGGGGGGGGGCGAGGGGGGCGGGAGGGGGGCGAGGGGGACGAACGACACGACGAACGACGAAAATAAAGGGTTCCGTGGCCCAGGGGGGCTACCCTGGGAAGCGTGGACAGGGGGGGGGGGCGAGGGGTACCCTGGGAAGCGTGGACAGGGGGGGGGCGAGGGGGACGGGGGGGGGCGAGGGGGACGAACGACACGACGAACGACGAAAATAAAGGGTTCCGTGGCCCAGGGGGGCTACCCTGGGAAGCGTGGACAGGGGGGGGGGCGAGGGGTACCCTGGGAAGCGTGGACAGGGGGGGGGCGAGGGGGACGGGGGGGGGGCGAGGGGGACGAACGACACGACGAACGACGAAAATAAAGTGTTCCGTGGCCCAGGGGGGCTACCCTGGGAAGCGTGGACAGGGGGGGGGCGAGGGGGACGAACGACACGACGAACGACGAAAATAAAGATGTCCGAGCTCTAGAGCACAGCTGTGCAAGATAATAAATAAACGTAACTCTCGGAGGTCCGCGCTGAGTTCTTTGGATCGGCGCTGGACCCCGCGTCGCCAGAGGCGCCGCCAGGGCGGGTCCCAGCGAGGATCCAAGAAATCCGCGCCGATCTAGGAAAATGTATGTTCATGACGTTTTTTTCTGCTTGAGCCCATGATGTAAACTCGCGATAACACCCGTGACCAGCCCCGCCCCCCCCCCTTCCCCCCTCTGGTCACGTGACGATTCGCGCTGGCCCCGTCTGGGAATCAACCGTTCTCAGGTGCTCCAAGACGGTGCCTGCGCGAATCATGACGTGACTGGCGCCCTTCCCCCCCCTGTCCACCACCCAGTCACGTCCGTTATCGCCAGGGGACAACAGGCTGTCTTCTTCCACACCCTTCCCCGCCTCACGCCCTACCTTCCCCTCGGGCCACCGCTGATCGATGATCCTCAGCACGTGTGTTGACGCCAACGTGTGCTTATCCACCGAGACCCTTCATCACGACGCAGGCGGTGTGATGAGGGCCGAAACATTAGGCGGCGTGCTGCCGACGGGGCTGAGCGGGGCAACGCACACATTGGGCTAACACGCGTTCCCAGAATCATCGAGCTGAGCCCCTGGTCGGCCAATGCGACAGCGACCCCGGGCGCACCGGCCGGTCGAAGGTGGCAACGAGGGACGCCTCGGAGCAGCCGGCGGCACCCGAGGCGCCAGCGCCGCGGGAGAGGTCGGAGGAGCTCACCGCCTCGTAGGTGTTCTCCAGCCTGCGGTCTCGCGTCCTCCCTCCTCCTCCCTCCTCCTCCTCCTCCTCTTCCTCCTCCTCCTCCTCCTCCGCGGGAGAGGTCGTAGAAGCTCACCGCCTCGTAGGTCCTCGTTGGTGTTCTCCAGTCTGCGATCTCCCAGACCCCCTCGATCCATGAAAAAATCTCGACGGACAGCTTTTCACAAGTTTCAGCCTCTGGGGGCCCGTACCGGGTCTCGGGACCGTCAGAAACAACTCGGGATGAACACTGGTCCCAGGGAAGTGGTCGAGTGGTTGGGAGCCCGTGCCTCGAAAAAATCGGCATGCCGTATGTCTGGGAACGGCCCTCCTCCCCTGAGATCTGGGGGGGTGCAATTTTTCGCACCGGGCGTTCTCGCCCAGTCTCGGGCCCCGGGACCATCTCAGGTCGTCCTGGCTTGAGAAATGTCGCAGAAAGATAGGGGATAGGGCTCTGGTCGCGATATTCTGCGATGTTGCCATTTGTTCGCAACGTCGGGTCTCAGGGTCCTCCCTCCTCCTCCTCCTCCTCCTCCTCCTCCTCCTCCTCCTCCTCCTCCCTCCTCTCCCTCCCTCCTCCTCGTTATCCTCCACCTCCGACCTCTCCTCCTCCTCCTCCTCCTCCTCCTCCTCCTCCCTCCCTCCCTCCCTCCATACATCCATCCATCCATCCATCCATCCATCCATCCATCCATCCATCCATCCATCCATCCGTCCATCCTCCTCCCGCGCGCCTCGCCAGCGTCGCCATCGCCGTCGCCATCGCCGTCACACATGGTCGTCCTGGTCAGCGTCGCTAGTGGCGTCTTCAGTGACGCCCCACGCGTGGTCAGAATTCGCACCGTGCTGCTGGGTGAGCAGGGTTCTGATTCTCTGTGCACCTGGTCAGCTCTCTCGAGTGACCCAATTTCTCTCTCGCTGGCACCACTGGCACTTTCGGCGTGGGTGCACCGACCGATCAGACCAACCTCCTGCTGGTGGGTCTGTGCCCGCGATCCAGGGGAATCGGTAGATATACAGTGGAAGTGAATCCACAAGAAACCCGCCGAAAGAAACCCATTCATGCAACCCGCCGTTTGGGCTCTTGCACTTCGACTGCAAACGGAGAAACCCAGGGCGCCCTGACCAGAGCGGATTCTTTATCGCTTGCGCAGAGCAATCGGACACCCAGTGGTCCAACGCACCGACACCCAAGAAGCCCAGGGTGCCCTGCCATCTGCGGTTTCTCTTCGAAACTGCTACGACCTTCCACACCGTGCGCAAGCCAAAGAAATCCAGGGCGACCTGCCATGCGGTCCGACTGCAAATCCCTCTGGGTCGCATCCCTGATGCTGTCGGCGAGCACAAGGGGGTAGGGGGAGGGAGGAAAGGCTTCTTAGAAGGAGGCTGCTCCTTAGAAGGCGCGGGCCTCAGTAAATCTATAGGCATGGCCCGCGTCTTCTAAGAAGCACTGGTGTTTGTAAGAAACATTGCCCCCTCCCCCTACAGCCCGACCTAGGCCAGAAGAACATCCCTCAAGAGCATGAGACCCTCCGTCGGCCCAAAACACATAGAACATACCCTTCCCAGGAAGGACAATAACGTCCAACAAGCACGAAGTACATCAGGGTACCCTCCCCGAGCCGACCTCGATCTTATACCTCGGTCCGACTGCAACGGCGCTCCCACCAGCATTGCGGGCCCCCATTGGGCGCTCGCCTCTCGAGGGGGCGGGCGCTTCTGGCACAGTGCCCCACGGACCAGAGGCGTGCCACGAGCACTCACCCACGCTCGAGCTCAAGCTATTTTTCGTCATGCCGACTCTGCTGGGCTGGCTTTCATGACGTGGCAAGAGATTCGTTTGAAAACTGGACGTCCACGATGGCTTATTCAGACGGCTTCTTCTTTTGAGTGGGGAGTTGCGTGCAGCAGCCCGCCACCGCCGTCTGCAACTGGCCGTTTTCAGCATACCAATGGCGGTACCGATTTTTGTTGGAGGAGCCTCGACCGTGTCAAGGCCATCCGCTCCCCCCTCTTCACGCAACGCGCTGTGGCAGTAAGGACCGACTCTATCAGTTATTTCAGCTGGTGGGCCTGTTCAAGGAGACGATGCATGGGTGACGTCCCTACTGGATTGGAGCTCCACTCTGGGAGGTGATGTTGCGATCGTTGGTGATTTGAACTGGAGGTCCCAGTATGCCAACTACCTCGGTTCAAATTGGGTGAAAGATGAAGCATGCCTCCCAACTACGACGGCGGGTACGAGCCCATCTCGAACCCTACTCCTTTCGGACCTTGGCGATGCCAAAGTTTATCTTCGTAAGGTGTCCTTTGTGGCTGGAGTCCCTCATCATGGATTGTGCAGCTACTCACTTCCTCCGCTCCAGAGACCGCTTCGACCGTTGAAGCGGGTGAAGCACACAGCCCTTTTTGCAGCTGATCGTATTGCCTTTGTCAACGAGGCCGAGATCGATGAGCTCAAGACCAAGCTCGACGTTTCCCATCCCGCGGCGAGGACGACCGATACCGTTGCGCAGCAGTGGGCCCACTGGCACCAGCGTGCCGAGGCCTGCTTGGGTTCGCCAGCAGCGAGCCCCTGAACCTTCGAAAGGATCAGCGCCTACTTCGAGGCCGACTGCTCCACCACCACGCCACCAGCTCGAGGAGTCCATCGCTCTTCGACGGCTCAAGCGGCCCAAGCGCCTCCATCGCAGCTGTTCGGACCAGGCCACACACCGCGCCCACGTGCACGAGCGCGTCGACGCCAAGCACCTCGAGGCCTTCGCCCGGCTGTGCATGGACGGCATCACGAAGCCCATCGACGGCTGGCCGAGCTACGACCAGGTCATCGAGTCGCTGAACTACGCCGTCAGCTTCGAGCAGAGCAAGATCGGGGAGGAGAAGCGCAGGTACTGGGCGGCTCAGTTCTCGGCTTGGTCTCGTGAGATATGACGTGCAGCTACCCCGACTTTCAGGCAGCCAGCTCCCGCAACTGGCTTGAACGTTCAGGGCATGAGGGCTGCGTGGGAGCCAGTGTGGCGGCCACCGTCCCATGACCCCGAGCCGAAGGTGAACAACTGGAAGCGGTGGTGTGCAAGAATCGACTTCCCTCAATCTGAGAAGTCGGCAGATTTGCCTCCATCATTGCAGTGTTTTCTGGAGGCCGTCAAGTCTACCCACGGCGCCGCTGGCTTTGATGGCTGGAAAGTTGTGAAGCTCAAGTTGATGCGTGTCATCGCGCCCGTCCTGCTGGAAGAGCTCTACGCCGTATGGACCGCCACGACCCAGTATGCTGCCCGATGCCATGGTCACCTTTCTCGTGAGGTACCCCGCGCTGTGTTTCCTTGGAGGGTCGTGGGGATCCCCAAGAAGGACGAGAATGAGAGCAAGCCGATCTCGGTCACCTCCTGCCTCCTCCGAGCATGGCTGACGGCTATGGCGACATCGTTGCTCCAGCCGACGTCCAACCAGCACGCTTGCACACGAGGTGTTGCACTTGTCCATGCCGTGTCTGCCTGGCTGACTGAAGAGGCCGTCCGTGGCCTCGAGCTGGACCTGAGCAAGGCCTACGACAACGTCAGCCATGAGCTTGCTGCCGCTGCGCTCGAGCGCCGGGGAGTCCCAGGTGCCGTCATCAACGTCTGCCTCCGCGCGTGGCGAAGCCCTCAGATCTCTACGGTTGCATCCGAGATGGCGCCACTGCTCTGGGCCACCCGGGGGCTACCGCAGGGCGACAGCGTCGCGCCTGGCGCGATGGTCGCCACGCTTGTGTCCTGGACGTGTACTCCTGCATCAGGCTGGGCCTTTATGGATGGTCGTTCGAATACCCCCCCAGGTCCGAGATCGATTTGGAGGTCGGCCTCGCTCGTACGACTCAGTTTGACTATGATGTAGGCTTTAAAGAGAATGCTTCCAAGCGCCAGCGCTGGTCGGCGGACAACGATGTCAACAGCATTGAGCACTTGGGTTTACTATGCGACCCAGCCCGCCCTGAGGTCCCCATCACCCCACGTGGGTGCTGGGCCAAACTGGAGCGGGCCATACTTCTTCTTCGAGGCTTTCCAAGTGCTCAGCACGTTCGGGAAGGCCTGGCCATGAGCTACGTCAGACCTTTATGGTTGTGGGCTACCCCCTTCACAGAGCCCGTGCCACCCATTTACTGCGGGCAGCTCGCGAGGGCTATTTGGAGGACCAAACGTAAACTTGTGGTGTGCAGGAAGGTGGTTGTGCCGCAGAGTTGGCCTCCACCCACGGTTCTCTCCAGCCATCCAGTCAATGAAGACGGTGCTCTCGGAATCCTTGAAGCCGAACGCCCACCTCACGAACGCCTTGAAGGCGCACCTCCGCGAGTTGGTGCTGACGTTTTTGGCCCACCACCCTCAGTGGGGCATCCAAGTTGCAGTCGACCAAGATGACGACCCACGGGTGCTACGTGCCACGGCCCGCCTTCGAGGCCGCTCTATGGAGTTCTGGAAGAAGAACGGCGCGGCCCAGCATGCTTTACGTGTGATCGTCCGCATCCGTTGCCTCCAAAGTGTACATGCTTCCAGGCTGGATGCCGCTGGCTACGACGACGTCGACGTCGAAGTCCTCAGCCAGCCTGACTGGAAAGCTTTTGGGAAAGGCCTCAGTGCTGACGAGCGCCTGGCCCTCAACGTATATATGTCAGGGGCATCTCAGTCTCGGGCTCGTACCAACACGCAGTACCCATGCTCGCGAGCTTGCCAGCACTGTGGGCACCCATGGCCATCGGTGCGCCACCTGTGGCAAGAGTGCCCCCAGCAAAACGACGTCAGGGCCCAGTTGGAGCAGCAGCACAACCTGGGGCCCGAATTCTGGGGCTCCCAGCCGCGAGTCGCATCCAAGAGTGGCTGGATCCCTCTCAGTGCCTCCCCCTCAGTGGCGAGGAGGACTTCTGTGCAGATTGCCGCGGTGAAGCTTGGCATTCATCTGCGCAGTTATAGTTTTGACTTTTGAGCCAAGTCGTCGGCGTCGAGCTTGACATGGACTTCTCGGGGTTCCAAT